TCTTCTGAAAAATGAAAAAAAAAGAGAAATGTTGAAAAGATAAAGAAATTGACAAATTGCTCCAAATGAAATAATTGGTGAGGTTGAAAAATAAAGAAAAATGTACATCAAGTCACAACTAATAGCTTTATGGCATCATGTAATATGATAAGAAATTGTAATACAACAATATCAATAAAAAAAATTTAATCTTACGTGCATTAACACATCATCTTCGCGTGGTGTCTTGCATTATAGCCATCAATATAGCTTGCACGCATAATTGCAAATTGAAGTTTCATCGGTCGATTGAAAATGATTAGCATGAAAATTTTATTAAAATTATTATGCGGTGCCTCATGTCAATTTGACTGTAAGAGTCACAAAAAATATTATTTTGATAATAATATGTATTAACGATGAAGAAGACGACGTTGATTATATTAATTTTCACACAAAAGAGCAGAAAAATTGTAATTATATTAAAGATTGGCATCATGTCACATGGAATCCAAAATATTTCATTGTTATTGCTGTAATGTTTGAGTTTTATGGGAAGTTGACGCATTTTTATAGGATCTATTAATTTTTTGACTATAGTCATAACTTACGTGTCATAATTAACTTGCATTTTTGAGGTTTATCTTGAAATATACCTTCTGGGATAGATTAAAATCATTGCTGAAATACGAATATCCTTTCCTGGAGACATGATTTTTTCATATAAAATTCAAAAAAATCCGGATCTTTTAGAGAGTCTACTCAATAAAAAGCGATCCTAAATTCCAAAACACACGTGCCAAAAAATGTGCAAGCAAGCAAAACAAAATGTTTTTAAGCCTGATAGTTATTAAAATTATTGAATTAATTCCTATATCATCACCAACGAAACATTCAAAAAGAAGTAAAATCATCCATCTTAATGCAACAAAGCATGAAAAACACAACGTAAATTGAAAACTCCATCTAATACCTACTAAATTACAATCTACAGTGCATAATCATTAAGATAGTTAATAACTGAATTTATCATGAGCTAATTATTATTGCCGACTGTCAACAAGCATATTAATAATCCACAAAAAAATTGTCAAAATGCCCTAAATTTCTGCATGAAGCTCATGCTTTTTGTATTCAATAAACCGTCCGCATTAATCACAATCAAAGAATTCTCAACATTCAATTAAGAGGGTTAGAAAAATGCGCTAAAATAATTTTAAAAACATTTAAGACAAAAGAAAAGCAATTTTTCATTTTTACAAAAATTGTTCATGATGCAATAAAAATTACAACATATATAATAAGTGCCTTCGATCGATAGACATTCTTCGTTCTCAATATTGTATGTATGTTAAAGAACAGGAGAAGAGATAAAATGAATTATCAATTGGTAATCATCAGCAGGTGGAAGCAAGTGCTTCAGAAAAGAATTTTTTTATACTTTTTTTCCTTTCTGCTTCTTCCTCAACATCTTCTTGTTCTCTTTTGGCGGATCGCACGAGCTATTAATATTTTATTCTCGTATTTCTTTTATTTTAGTATTTCCTTTAAGGAATCAAGAATATATCTCTTAGTACTTAACGCTAATAAAAGACGAAAACATTTAAACATCTGAAGAATTAGTCAAGTCGGAGATTTTAAAGGCGCATCTATTTAAAAGATTATTTTAACCTAAAATCCGACCAAAATATAAAACGCGACTATTAAATTAAGACATTAATTCTAAGATCTAACCTTACTTCCTTCGCTGGTCTTACATGTCTAATTTAATACATGAGCACTCCTTCTGTTGACAAGTACTAGCCTCTATCGTCATCTTCTCCTTGTCAATTCTTGATACTAAGTTCAATACTTTCTTTATCGATAGCTACTTCTCTCTTTCCACCTATTCAGCAAACGGCTCCTTCAAAAAAGCTCAAGTTCTAAGACGTGAATTACACAAAGCAGGTTTGGGCTTCCAAATGAATTATTTATAAAGTCTTTGTAAAGCTCTAGTGAATAGTAACACAACTGTCAGTATGATAAGCAGACAAACTGTTAGCAAAACCACATTTCCTTCCTTACAAAATCGAGCTACAAAACATCATAAAATACACTATTTTATACACAGGAATTAAAGGCTATGATGCGTTAGATCATAAAAGAGAAAAGCAAAGAGTTCAACATTTTTTTTCTGTATTTTTTCAAAATGCAATAGACGAGAAAGAGCAATTAAAACATCATTAGAAACATACAATTTAATTCAATTAAGATTTTAGTAAGCATGTGCGAGCTGATGGGCATTTAACGTGATAAATTGGCATTATATTGACGGACTTACTTAACTATGCATGCACTATATATTAATTATATGTGAACAAATGCTTCCGATGACAGACTCGTCTCTTGAGTTCGATCCAAATGGGATTTTTGCTTACTCTTGCTGCTGCTGTTGCTTTAAAAATTTTTTTTCAAAGAAAATTTTTTACATCTGAATTATGATGAATGCTCTCATTTCATCAGCACAGAAAAAAAGGCTTATTTTGACAGGCAACCAGATGACTGGCATGATGCAGAAAAAGGAATTAAATGTAAAAGAAGATGAAATATAATTTAGATTTAAATTATGCACATGTTGTACATTTTTTTCTTGTTTCATAGCAGAAGATATTTTATATAAATGCACACATTTTGCATGCTTTTATTTTTTAAAACAAATATTTTCCTTTATTTTTATGCTGAATATTGACTCTTTTTGAATGTGATTAAGAGATCATCGAACTCAAAAATTTTGCTTTTCTCTTTTAAATTGGATAACTTTTTTATTGATGCATTTATTTATTGGATTTATTAAAATTGTTATGATAGATAATTGGTTATAAATATGTCGAAACAACTTTAGTATCCTGAATAGCTTGTTACTACAAAATTGGATTAAAGTATTAAAATTAAAGCTTGCATCAACTTGAATATTCTAAGAAATCGATCTTAAACTTGACAAGGTCTTGAACTGCTCATCATTCATCTGGTCTTATTCTTTATAGTAAACGCAATATGCTAAGTTATGCCATTTTTTAAAGCTTGAATAAATTACTGATGACAGTGTATTGAGTTTGATCTTACAAGCATTGTAAATTGACGATTCAATAGAATTTCATACATTATTCATTAAATGATTTGGATGCAACAATGTACAGTAGAGTTGCTTGATGCTATTACAATAGACGCATTCGCACAAGTCAATATCTATCTTTGTAGTTCCTGATTGCATATTTAGGTTTGCATTTAAAATTTGAGGGTTTTATTTTTCTAACCTATGAGTTGGGGCTAAAGATTAGTGACATTAAAAACCCCTAACGCATTATTACTTTTATTATTCAAATATTAAGATAGATGCTTATTCTTCGGAAATCAAAAACAAAATAAATATTTCTGTGGAGGGGTTAACAAGTATAAAAAGGAGGGGGGGGGCAGCCAATTAAAGTAATATTTAAATATTAAACGGCAGTTGATATATTTTCAAAACTATGATTTAATTTGAAGTTTAACTCTAACTGCCAATTATTCACCTTATAGCTAGAAAATCATTTCATTCTTGACATTATTATTTTAAACATTAAGTCACTGAAAATGTTGTTCTTGTTATGATTAATAACTCAATTAAATGACAAATTTCCTTAATAGCTTTCATTAGAAATTCCAATAATATCATTTATCGTACATCCATACACAAAACAAACAGTTGATTTAATTACCAAAAAACTGATAAATTCAGAGTCAAAAATAACACAACAGCCGAAATGCTCATGTTGAAAATTAATTTATTAATGAATTTTTTTTTAATGTTCATATATTGTAGATCTAAAGATAGTTGCAGCCTCGAAAAAGGCTTAATGTCGTTTCCATGCATTGACAATTAAAGTCGATGTACTTGAAAATATAAGAGAAAATTATATTGCGATGTTCTACCTTAATTGAAAATATTAATTTAAACACATCATTTGGTAACTTTTTGTGCAATTGTGAACTGTATGAATATGTAACTTACACTATCATTACTGAGTAAACAATAGCTTTTAATAGTGACATAAAATTTTTCTTTTAAATTCCCACAAATGCGGAGTTAAATTGATCATATCCATTTATCGAGATCGTATGTCTGTAAGCTATTTGCCAAAAAAATTGCTGCTATTTACCAACTGAATTACCAATTTTCATTTAAAGAGTGAAGCATTCCTCATTAATTCAATGCTAAATGCCTGTCTTACTGACATTAATAGTCAAGAATTGGAGATCGTTAATATTTTGGACACAATAATGAGCTAAAGGAAGGAAAAAAAATCGATGAAATTTCATTAACTTTGCCGTCAATGTCTTTCAATTTTCCATTTCCATTTTTTACTCCTCATGTCTTCGCGCCATCAAAATTAAACTTCAACAATTTATGTAAATATACAACGCAAAAAAATTGCCAAAAATTGATGGATGAACAAGACATAAGTTTTACACATTTTTAATGCTCTACAAAATTATTCATCAAGTCAAGGAAGCAGTGAGGCAAAATGAGCGAGAAATTAGTTTGAGTGAAGTCACTTATTGGTGAACTTAGCGCAGTTTAACAATTTATAGACCTAATTTTGAAAAAACCCAACTTTTGGTTCCTTAAAAACTCACCTTTCTACTTCTCGATTAGTTTTTATTGGGCTTTCCATATATTTTAAAGATCATCAAGGTCCTCTGCTAGAACCTTCTTAAAACTACGTCATCTTTGTTCAACCAAAAGTGACTCTAAACAGCTGGTTCTACTCAGTCTATCATACTATTATCAAAGTATCCTTCTTGACAGACTGACAAACCGATAAATTTGAATCTACAGCACCTTGTCTATAAACCTAGAGGCAAAAGAAAAAATTAATTGTATCGTCGTGTCAGATTCGATAATTGTGTGCATAAAATTGAAATAAAGACAGCATTTGTCATGATGATTGATTCATAATTTTCATCTATTAATGTGTTCCTTTATATTCCTCTCATCACTTTAGGAAATGGCCATCAATTCTTATGACATCGTCAGTACATTACAAGCTCTGGGAATGATGAAATATTGGAAAGGCAAGCACATCATCTTAAAGAAGCAGGTGAGTTTCATTCTGTCTTGACTGAAGCGCTTAAAATATAATTTAAAAGTACAAAAGATGATTACCTCCACATCAGTAAGGCAATAAGTGAATATTTGTTTTCGGTGACGGCTTCTTCACTACGATATTTCCTTCTAGCATTTTTCCTTGATTGCTTCATGTTGTGTAATTTTAATTTAATTTCTTATTCCTCTTATTTTACGCTTGTAAATAACATTAATGGTTATTACTTTAATTTTAAAAATTCTATCGACTCTTTTTCCTCGTCATACTGATTGCATAAATTGCAACTGTGCGTTTGCTTTGTCATAAATTTTTATGATTATTAATAGTCCTGATGTCTTGTTCAATCTAAATTGCAAGGATATTGTCGATGTAGTTTGATCAGTTAACGGAAATGTCTTATTACAGGTTATCAACAAAATACACTTAGCTTCTTCACTTTTAATTTCCAGTTCTTTAATTTTTGTCTGGTACTTGAACCCAACAATTGATTGTAAAGATAAGCAAAAAGTTTTGAAATTTATAAAATGATGTTAATGTGACAATAATGCGAATTTGCAGGCTTTTGGGTGCGAGTGAAATTTTACCGATTATTGTTCCTTGACAATCTTAATTGTACTTTCTTAAACGCAACTGAGGTTGCAGAAGCTCCTATATAAAGCTTTAACGACAGTTTAATCAAATATACTGTTGAAATTAGATTAGTTGTTAATGCTGGCTTGCTGCAAAATTTCTAACCAGTCACCTTACAAAGCAAATCATCAAAGAATAGACTCGATTCCTCCTTTTTTAACAACCCATGTGGCAGTTCATTTAAATTCCATTTGAAATTGATGATCGCATGCAATTAAGAATCCAACTTTATTCACGCCATTTATAATATTTGATGTGTTAAAAGCTTCATTTACATAAATTCACTAACTTGTTAGTGCTCATCCAAATAAATATAAATGATTACTTTTTTTATTGTTTATGATGATTCCATTTTGAAGATTCTTTTATGATTCCAAAATGAGCATAAAGCTGATAAAGAAATGTTAAAAATGTTTCTTCGATTGCCTTACATGCAGATGGTTAGCATTGTATCGTGAAAAATTGTAATTGAATTTGCAAATCTTCGAGCATTTACGTGCTGATCATTTTACTGTATGTCTCTGCCTTTTACCATCTTACTCATTTTCAATACACAACATGAGTTATCGTAACATCATGTAATTGCATCCAAAAGTATCTCACATAACAATTGTTAAATTACTTTAATTTCACTCTTACTCTCCATTTCGTATTTTCGTCTTGATCACATATTAAACACACATCAGTATATTTATTTCATCGTTGTGCGGCATTTACATTTAGTTGATCAAGCGGATGTTTCGTAAATTACAACAAGCAATTTTGACGTGTGCGCTGCTAAAGGTGCATGGTTGCTGATCGAATTGCAATTTACATGTAATTGAAATGTTTTCGACCTCAAACGGTGTACAAGACACATACTCAACAGTGAGAGTAATAATAATAAAAGAAAATGTATATGTTCAGCTTTGTTTTGCTGGTCTTTCGATGGAACGCGGGGAAAGGGAAGAAATGGTAAAAAATCATTTTACAAGATGATTTATGAAATTGCACCGTCCGCGTTCGTCGTGTGCATTAACATCTTTATTAAGATTTTCTTTTTGTTTGAGAATTTATTTTGGGCGTTAATTTTACTGTGGTATGAAGCTAAGTGTAATAGCTAGGTTAACATATTTGGGGATTCGAACTCAAGTATTCTATGTTTCAACAACCGATTATATTCAACCACTCAATTGTTTTAACATTTATTTTAATTTTAAACTATTTTGGTATTTAAACCTCAATTACTTCTTTACAACAGATATTTGAATGTGTAATAAGGAATATAATCACATGCTTCTCCAACACGTTTGTTCACAAGCATGTACATTGCAAAAACAAATGCAGAAGTTTTACAAAAACCAATCATAAAATTCAGCTTAGTTTCTCTGCAATTTAGTTCTTCCTTTATCAACTTCATTTGCAGAACTACAATCCATGTGTATTTTACTTCCACAGGGCGCAATTTCAATGAATTTAAATTTAATTAAAGATCAACCAATTTATCATTTATTTATCATTTAGCCGTAACTTTAAGCATAATAAATTATAATTTTCTTCTGCACATTTAATGAAATTGAAAGGGATGCATGTTCATAAAAAGAGCCAATGCGTGCCAACATTTCATAATTGAATTTACATTATTTTTTTTCCTACCTTCTTGCACTTTTTACTTGTGCTTAACGCTTCTAAGGTCCGATGATCAAATGGAATGAAAGGGTTTTATTGATGATCGCGTTTTTAAATTATTTCTTCTTGTAATTTTTTACGTTTCTCTTACTGTTGAGAGAAGATCAACGACACAACACCTGTAAATGAAGATTTGATATGGATGAACTAATTAAAAATGAGTTTGGAATTATAATTTTGGAAATTCATTTGAAAAGACGCATTTTTTGAAGTATAAGAGATTAAAAATTTGCAATTTTTTTATAATTTTCTTGAATTCGAAACCTTAATTTATTTTTTATTGTGATAATGTATTAAAATTACATAGGGCCGTTCACTTATTACGTTCGCATTTTAGGGGGGAGGGGGTTTGAAAAATTGTAACATAAGGGGGGGGGGGGGGGGGGGGGTGTCAAGAAGTATGTAACGTTCTAACTGTCTTTTAGAAAAAGTTCACGAAAAAAATTTGTTTACAAATTCACACCAAAAACATTTTTTTAAATTTTTTAATCATAATTTGTGGAAATTTCAAAATTAAATCAATCATAAGTTTAAAAGTAAATCTCTCTGGATCTGTCATTCATAAGATGATTAATATGATCTCATCATTGTGATATTTACATTCAAAATTGATTGAATTTTCCAAAATTCGATCGAGCATAATATTTTTCATAACATTTTTGAATTTTCTTCAATTTATCAATAGTATCAATTAAAACCTGACCTATTTAGCTGTACAGTAGTTTGATGTTTAAGAAAAGAAAAAAAATACAAAAGAAATTTAACCATCTTTTTAGATTTAAAAGAAATATTGTATTTTTTTGATATTTGTGTTTTGGCGCCAAAATTTTTCTATAAATTGATAATCACTTAAAACAAATTTGGGAATAAGAATAAAGAAAAACTATGATGAATTATGAATAAAATTTAAATGTTCTTAATAACTCCCTATAAAAAATTATCAAAATAAAATAAATTATGAACGTTCAGGGGGGGGGGGGGGGGTGAGTTGTAACATATTGTAACAAGAGGGGGGGAGGGGGGTGGTAAATAAATTCGTTTTTTGCGTGTAACGTAATAAGTGAACGGCCCCATACTATTATTTAACATGAGTGTTGATTAAGTAAGTTCATATTTCAATTTCATTGAATTGATTTCTTCTTAAATAAAAGAATCTTAAAATAAGCTAGTTAACGAAACTTTTAAGATTAAGTCATCTTGTAAGCATTAACCGATCAAAATCATCATCTCTTTTGATTACTTAATCCTTGAGGTTATTGCTTCTTTTATGCAAAATTTTATGTCAAGCTTGAAAAGATTAAATTAACAGTAGCCTGTAATTATATCATAAAATTTTATGTCAAGCAATTATATGGTAAATTTGGTTACTATTAAAAATAGCACTATTAACGCACAGGACGTCAACAGCTTTTCATTTATTTTAATTTTTTTGAAGCAAAAGACTTAAAATTTGCATGTTTTATCATTGAAAAGATCTCGATAGCTTACTATATAAATGTTGTAAATATGTTTCAAAAATTCCTCAATGTCTATTAGCGTCAAATTAAGTTAAAAATCACCTTAAAAGAATTCTCGACTGTAATTGAATGAGAAACGTGTCCTGTAATTTATGAAAAGTTTCAATTTAAAGAATGCATAAATTATCAAAATTTACATTTGGATGCCTTGAAGATAAATTCATCAGTCGTTTGACAATTTGTAACATGCAGTCTAATGTTTTTGAGGACAAAATGATATTAAATTGCAGCAGTGACAACAAAAAATGCACTTTTTTTCCATTCAGACGTGCAATTACATTTTTATTTGTTTTGTTAATGCTAAAAACAATCTAATGAATGTCAATTCATGTCGAATAAAAATTTTCATTTTTTTAGATTTCGTTTTCATCTTTTGAGTTTTAAAGTTAATTGCAATATTTAGGCTCCATTTAAATGGTAAAAATTGTAATTAAACTTATGGTAAACATGATATTGAAATTTTTTATTATGACTGAACAAACCATTCATATCTCAAATGATAATTTTTTAAGTAACTAAAACTGTCTGCGTCATTTTAAAATGAAATTGAACATGTGCTCGATATTAAATTACTATGGAAGAATTCGAGGCGATAAGCATGCAAAAAAGTTGCTAATGTAAATGTATAGAAGGGAAATGAGGGATAATAACTTGATTTTGAACTTGAAATTTGTGATCGTAAAATTATCATTTTACAAAAAAAAATTCATTCGATAATTTTAAGGTACAGTAAAGTCATGTCATTTTTGCAAAAGTAATCATAAAAATTATTATTTATTTTTCTTCGCTGCGGTCTGAAAAATCTACAGCATGCTAAACAGCAAAGCTAACAAACGAAAAGCACCTGTGTAGTGTCTGCATCAAAACGCCTCATTTCAGCTCCATAAGCCACTCTCGTGTGTGCCTTTTTCTTAAAGCCAATTCCATTTTAACACGATAATCGATGGTTCTATTACTCTATCATCATTTTCCATATGAATTCTTACATATCGCCACTGAAAAATCATGTTAGATTTTATATGAAAATTGCATGATTCAGTGCGTCTACTTTACTTGCTAAGCTAACAAGCTTCACTTATTTGTACTTAATTTCCTTTATTGCTTTTGGCACGTACGCAAGCTTAGCAAAAAAAAAAAATAAAGCAATGTTAAAATTTTCAGATTTAAATTTTAAATTTGTAGGATTCAGTGTTGCATTCTGGCTATTTGTCTGGATCAGATAAATTCTGAGACAGAAATTTCTTCATAAAATCGATTCTACATGTAGAAAGAAAAAAACCATCTACATGTAGATTGTGTCTACATGTAGAATCTGTCTACATGTAGATTTAATGTAGATGTCTACGATTCTACATTCTTCTCTGATGTAGACCTGGAAAAAATGTAGAATTATAGACATCTACATCGAATCTACATGTAGACAGATTCTACATGTAGACACAATCTACATGTAGATGGTTTTTTTCTTTCTACATGTAGAATCGATCTTTATGAAGAAAGTTTCTTAGCTAGACAAAAACTATTGAAGAATCTACATTCTTCATCTAGTGTAGACATCTACATTTGCAACACTGGTAGGATTAGAACACGAAACTTATTAAGAAATTTTTCCAATTTCCAACTCTTAATTTAGATTATATTAGGTTCATTGCTTAATAGCTAAAATATCGTTTCTTGTCTTGTTTGTACAAATTCCCTCTAAAGCCTGACTTTCAGGACACCAATGTGCCGTAACATAAAGCTTAACAGACACTGATCTATGCTGTTGATGCATCAGTAATTATTGCATCGCCTAATAATTCATTTCAGTTCTATAGCGTGTACACATAATACTAAACTCTGATGCCAGCTAGTGCTGCAAAATTTAATTTATTATCTAATTACATGCTCACCTTATTTATGGAGTCTCTCAAGCTTATGCGCTTTTCATTTAATGAGATTGTAATTTTTGATATTTTTATTCTTTGTGACTTGCTACCATGATGAATGAGGAATTGTTCTTAATATCTTTAATGAATTAAATGTTTTGATTAAATTTGATTTATATTTATTTTCTTATCTCATTTCACAGGATATACTAAAAGATTATGAAGAGCAGTCGAAGAAGCGGAATTCATTGAAAATTGACCCGAATTGCCTTCAATGGACGCCTTTTGTGACACCGCAACAAGCTCAACAAGTCTCAAAATCTCAGCCAACATAAATTGTAGGATAATTTTTTTAGGAAGTAAGTAATATTTTCTGTCTCAAAGTTTTTAAATTAAAAATAAGAAAGAAAAAAAAAAATGTAAAATAATTAATACATTTACGTTACAAATTATTTCTTAGACAAACTGTATATTTAATTATTTGAGTGTAAAAAGTAGACAAGAAATGAGTTTAATGATCTTTCTGTACTTTTTTTTCTCTAAGAGCACATATATAAAAAAGAAAAACTTGAGTTATATAATTGATGCTTAACATGCTAACAAGTAGAAGTGAAATTGAGAGAAAAAAAAAATATTCGTTTTAGAACCTGTAAAAAATGTACACATTTTTGTATTAGGGGTTCCATGTGAAAGTCTAAGTTTATTTGGAGGTTGGAATAAAACAACAGATGAAACATTTTGGAATATCCCTCGGTAAGATTTTATTACTGTTTAATAAAAATCTCACAAAATGTTAACTTTAGTTCTGCATATTAGAAATTGGGAAGTCATCTGCGGTCCCCCTTTGAAATTGAGGAGGGGGGGGGGGGGTCAGAAATTTTTAAACTTACCGAAAAAGGGGATGTGAAAAGTAATTTTTTTTCTTAACATTAAAAGTAAGCTTCCTAGAATTTGATACCAATTAAGCTTGCTGAGCTTGAGTCATCTAACCTGAAATCCTAGTAAAGACTTTTAAGTTTTTACTATTCGAACTTCGAATTTTAGAGATTCTTTTTTTACGGATTTCGAATCTTCAGAGTTCTTATTTTCAAAAAAAGTTCAATATGAGTTCTTTTCGAGTAATTTGTAATTTTGGTGTGCATTTATACTAATTATAATGATTATGATAAATGTATATTCTTCAAAGTTAAAAAGGAACGGACTTTCTCATTTTGAAATTTTTGATTTAAAAAAAATACTGCGTGAAAATTTTGAATTTTTTTTGTTTGTAACTGACTCTGTTCTTTGCTAACATTGTACTTAACCTTTGGATGAGCTGACCATACCAAATCTCCCCGTATATTAATAATCTCAACACCAAGGAACCTCTAACTCATATGCATAACTAGCAACAACAGCAGCAAAATGTTGAAACAATTTCTCTTCATGTTCATTAGCTGCTTTTATTTCTCTTCCTCTTTCTAAGATATAATGTATGAAATTCGAGAGCAAGACGCAAAAAAAAGATAAGTTAGCTAATTTATTTAAACTCGTGCGCGTTCATTTGTTGAGAGTGCATTATGGAATCTCATTATGTGTGGAATTTGTTATTATATTTTTACTTCTTTAAATATGCCGAGAGAGAATAAGAAATGCTAATTGGAAGCTGCAATATAGTAATTTTTAGTGAAATCTATGAATTTATGATATTTTTCAAAACGAGATAAAAAGAAGTAAAATAAAATAAAATTAAATCCCCATTAGAGAGTAAGCATAATATATGTGTGTATGTATATGACATTAATAAATATTTAAAATAAAGCCAATTAAATTAAATTCAATTTCTTTTCTTATTTTACTTCTGTTCTTATTTTCTGTTTGTTATAATAAACGTATGCCAAAAATAAAACAATGCGCAATGCAGTTGCAAAATAAAAATGTGTAAAAAGAAGTAAGCGCCGCAAGCTCAATGCAAATTACAGCTCTTTTCTTCTGTTCATACTTAATAAACGCAAACAACAAAAAACAAAATTATAAAAATAAGATAAAATTTTTTTTTTATCTAATTAACACGAAATTTACAAACGGAAATATCATTTTCGGACAGTGGAATAAATTTTCAGTTCTTCTCAGTTGCACAGGCTTTGGCAGCAATATGAACATGGCAACATTTGTAAGAATTTTATATTTTAGGTACCAGGGAAAACTGGTATGTTTGTGTTCACTTTTGACTGTCAAAAGCGTTGTTTTGTTAAGGAGTCATTCATAAATGACGTATATTCAAAAATTAGATTTTTTAAAAAGTTTCTTACACGCTTGTTCTAGTCACAGTCAAATTTTATTCATAACAAAGATTGGATTGCTCAAAGAGATTCCTCTAGCAGCTTTAGAGTAGCTCTAGAATTCGGCTCATTATAGAGATGGACTGTACGGACAGACTGACAATAGCATCTATTTTGACTTTCCTCAAAAATTCCTCAAAAATCCCCCAAAAAATAACAGAAAAATTCAGTGCAATTATAACGGATCTTCGGGGGTTGAAAGAATGAAAAAATAAATGCACGACAGGAAAGATCCTTTGAACCTCTTTCCGGCATATTAGCAATTATCTTTTTCCCAACATGCACCTGATCTTCAACTTTAGCACTTTGCTAGTTCATCAATTCATGCGTGGAATATTCATCTACAGTTGTCTTTCTCCCTCTTTGTTTGGGCTAAAGCGATTATGTAATTTAAATGTCATAAATGTGTCTGATGTGTGTGCCTCTTATGATTGTTTGCTCTTTGCAGTTGCTTGTTACTTTATTTTTTATTTTTGTAAGTAAGTGTGCTGTAGACGATTTTATTCTTATTAGAAATAATTGAAGATTATTGGTAATTCTATTGCACCATTTTTACTCATTAAAAAACTGGTGAAATACTCATTTGTGTACATCACTTGACTGATCACACTTGTCAGTCAAAATAATTTTAATAGATTCTGAAAACTTCATAGACTGATTCACAATTCATAGGAAATCATAACTTTTCCATGACATCTGTCATTAAGTAAACGCTTATCGGATTAACAACAATTCATAAATCTTAATAGGTTTCTTATGGCTAAGCACGGCTTCTTCTTTTTACATAACACTTTCTAGTTACACGAAAAATATCTTACACGTGCGAGTTTTTGATTTCATAATTTAAGAATTTGATTTGGATTCCTATTAAATGGTAAAAAGTTGTGCAACATAATCAGTCTACAGCTCTAATTACCAAATGTCAAAGGCATGTGCTAATAAATTAATTCGTTGTTTTTGTAAGGCTTAACTTTATTTTTCATAGAGCTAGTTTCTGGGATACTCCTGTCTTCATCTCCCACCCCCCTCTCTTTATTTATGCCTCAAAAGAACAACAAGCGCATTATATTTTTGAAGCAAGTAAAAAAGCTGAATGTTTCAAAGTTTAAAGCTAGAAAATAAAATCCGTTAAATATTTCAAATTTTGAATAATATAAGGTTGGGAGGGGAAACGGGGGGGGGTTTAATCCTGAAGTTTTTCGATTTGAGTAGATGTGGTATCAAATATCCCATCTTAGACTCTTCTAAATCCACTTTCCGATCTTATTGCTCTGCGTCTAATGCCAACTTATCGTCAATAATGCTTCAGATAAATTGATATTTAGTTCTGTTGGTTTGACTACAGTTTGGGTGATATAAAACAAAAAAAAATTCGCTTCCCTGGTCCTTCACAATTTTAACATTTCAAGCATGAACCTGCGTCAAAGTTTATGATTTATTACTCAATAAAATACACAAAAGGAGTTTAAAAAGTGAAAACTTCCATAATTTCCTCACATTTCCTATAGCACTAAAAAGACCATCAATTTAGTAATTATTACCACAATAAACATACTCATATGTGCCATAAAAACCACAAGAAATGAAATCTAAAGTGAACTTTGTACGCAGAACTTGCTTAATTCTGACTTTAAGAATATTATTGCTTCACTCTCACGAATATAAAAACCAACAGCGAGCAATGAGAACATTAAACGGTAATTGATTTGATTTGAACAAAACAAGCAGAAAAGTTGGATATATTTTAATTCCATGTTAAACATCAAACTCGATTAACGGATTCTCATTCTTTACTTTCTTCAATTGGCTGAAACAATCAATTTTTGAATGCAATTAATCAGACGGAATCAGACCGCAATTGATTTTTGTTTCTCCACTTCTTTCATTTATTTAATTCCGTCATTATGCTAGACACCAAAATTATTTACAGACGAAGAAGACTCTTCGAAATATTTTTTTCTTGCTTTCATGGACGCAGTAAATTAAGTTATTGAGATTAAATTTTCTGTCATAATTAAGAAATTTATTGAGCACTAACATGATAGTAAAAGTTATTTTAATGGAGATGGCTTACAGTTATAGGCTTAAAGTTTTAAATTAGGCTCAATTAAAATAATAATTATTGAAATTTTTACAAAATATTCTTTTAATATTTATAGAAAAAAAAAACTTTTGAAAGAAAAAACATGTAAACTTTTACAGTAAATGGATGCGCCAATGCTTCCTGAGCACGCAGTGATATATTCATGGTTTCCTCTCATTCATCAGTATGAAGCATTGTTTTCTGTAATCGTAAAAAAATTGACTTGAGGTGGGAATCGAACCCATGTTCTCATTTATTTTTTAAAAATGTTTCGATCTGTTGCTTAATCACTCAGCTACATTGGGATAAATATTATACTAGCTGATTTGCTATCACATGGCTTGAACCTTCCAATTTGACTGCATTCCCTTGAATACAATAAATCCTTTAAACTCCTATAAATATCAATTCAAAATTTATTTTAACTTCAGAATAATTTGTAAAAAATTATTCTAACATCCAAAAAAAAATCATTAATGTTTAAATAAGATTACATCAGTAATTACGTCAGAGTGTCATTAATGATTAGTTTAATACTTCAGTGAACAAGTGACAGAAAGGTTACATTAATGTTAATAACACACTGAACTGGTTGAACGCCATATAAAGTTCAATAACTTATGTGTGAGATGAGGTATTGAGATGATATTTTGGACGGAGACTGTTTGGTACGATATTTTTGTTCTGATTTGAATGAGGTTTCTTGATTTATGACAAAATCATTACATTTTACTCACTTTCGAGTCGAGGGACAGATCCATTTATTTGGTTTCGTTAATTTTTTTGAGGTTTAATTTTTTTTTCATAAACCTTAGCAAAATAGAGAAAATATCCAAAAATTTAAGAATTTTTCCGAACAACCCTCTCCTGGCTACGCTTTTGAGCTGTTCGGTGAAATTTCCTTCAAATTTTCAATATTAATTGAGTTTGGGACAATCCTTCTTCGTAAACCCTCCTGTATAAGCTTCTGCGTCTAAACCAGTGTTGTCTTGGGTGCTTAGGCACACTAGTATGGAAATTAATAGCATGCCATGAACCATGTGTTGTGTGGGGTTAGGGTCGTCGACTAGCACCAGTTTGTGTCTTGGCACGAAAAAGTTTGGATACTATAATTTATGGATCCAATTATTTTAAATGACATTATTAATTATTTCAAACTTAAGCTAAGAAATGTAAAATAAAATCATCCGACAATCTTTAAGAACTTGGACCAGTTACAATTTCTTATGGTACCTAATCTATTTGGATCTTTTATTTGAAATTCTGCAGCAGATATGTATAGCACTCAACCTGTTTAATCTGTCATTTTTGAAAATTTATTTAAAAAGTCCAAACCGTTAGTCCAATTCTCTTTAACTCTTGTAATGCCTCAAAAAAATTAGCAATGTTTGTTATAAATTAAAACCTGGAATTCCCAACCATTTTTTAACTCACACACATACCTTTCCACTCACATGACACATGAAAAATTGTCAATTCCATTGTAATCTTGTGAGTGATTGCTTGCTTCCTTACATGTTAATGTATCATATATGTATATTTTTTTTATTAGTATACATAATGTTATGCCTACACATTAAAAACGACCATGTAGATAGAGAAAGGAAGATGGATAGATAGGAGAAGTTGAAGATAAAGAAAGAATCAACAAAAACAGAATTCCACAGTAAAAAAAATATTATTTTAAAAAGAATTAAAGAAATCACGCAAGCGGCTACAGTCTGGTAATTTTCATTTCGGTACAGAAATCGCTCCGCAATTCTATTTTGCACTAAGTAAATTTTTATGT